AAAGGGCAGATGGTCTCTCTCTCTCTGTCTCTACAGTACAATATTTCAATCCTAAAGAAAGCCGGTTTATTTTCTTCCACCAGCTGCTTTTAACTAATAAGTCAGAGATTTTATAACTCATGAACTAGTCACTCTATGCCTTCTGTGAAGAAGTGAGATAATCTGAACAAAATGTTCAAGGAACTAAGTGACTCAGATAACAAAAGGAACATTCCATTGAACCCTGAGGACATGTACTATTGAGCTGTTTCCCCACCATTATTCCCCTTCACCTATAACACCAATAATTTTCTACCTGTTTGTGTTTGCCTGTATGTGTAGGAAGGGTTTAGAAGGAAATTAGAGTTTCAACTAGTACAGTTACACATTTCAGTTCATTGTTACCTACTTGTGGTTAGAATCTAGTTATTTCTAACAAATAATAGTTGTTAAATTTAGAAATTTATTCTGTGTTTTCTGTTAACATTGATCTATCTGACAGGAAAACTGGGGACCTTGATAAAAAAAAACTTTTGTGATGACTCTGCGAATAGCAGGGTCTGATTTCCAACTTACTTCCCTAGTGAAGCATGACAAAATTTGGGTGCTCATTCAGGTTTGATTTGAAATAGAGATAATAACAATTTGGGCACAGTATTCTTCAAAAACACTGATGAAGATAAATGCTGTGATCTGTACTTCTGTAGGAAATGACACTGAGAACAGCAAATGATTACCTTCAGGTGACAGAGTTTTTCTCGATAATTTTAAATTAACTTTAAAAACCCAAGCTGATTAATTTGGCAGGTAAACGAGAAACACATGACAGAAGATGTTAATGTATTTTTTTAATCAATAAAATGGCTGCAGAGGGCAACTGATGACATTCAACCTCATTTAGAAGTTGAAGTAAAGAGCTTACATACTTCAACACAGATATATCAGTGGATTGAGAAGAAAGATTTGTTTACACAGATTGAAGATGGACTGTATACAATTCCATGGAAGCCAACATTGAGTTGGATGACCACTGTCTACACAGGCTCAGGACATGCTCAAGAAGTAACTATTTGACTCACAGATCCAGGATACTGTCAAAGAAATTACCTGGCTCGGAAACCAAGGACACTGTGGAAAAGAAAAAGTAAATACCTGTTTCATTAAAGCAACTGTGTTCCATGAAGGCAATTATGAGGTTAAAAGTTCCCTAGGGCTTCTCTAGGAGCTGCTACCTGTTTCAGTTTGGAAAAGCTATTCTGTGAAAGGAATTCAGGGGATTAAGATCCAAATAAGATAATAGACTGACATCTTCAGTGAATGACATCCAAGAGATAAAAGGCCCTCCAGTGTAGATAGATTTTAGAGAGCAGACAGTCAAGAACAAAATTGAGGTCAACAGTCAACAAGCCAACCAATCTTCCAAGTCCAAAGCAAATGCATTCTGGGAAAATTGTAAAGCCTGCACACCACCTGGAATTGTCACCACAGAGTCTTGGGTAGAGTAGGGGGAGTCGTAAATGTAATTATATACATGAATATGCAAACGCAACTGTGAAACAAGACATTTGTGGCTATATTTTGCATTAGGTAACAGTTCTGAAAGGGTTAATGTTGAGAACTGCAATAAACTCCTTAACCTGATGATGTCATCCAGACTTGGGTGGAGAAAAGGCAGAACATCAAATTGACAAGAAAGGGAAAAGGGTTTTCATTTTCTTTTGGTGATTTCTGTAAGGGGGAAATCTCCTTCACCCACATTCAGATTTTAGTGAACGATTCTCATCCAACAATATAAAATACTAAAATAAAGCCTTTCATATATAATATAATTGCAGCAATTCAACATTACAGGCACAAACTGATAAATAAGCACAGTTCTTTCTGTGCAAAATGAACAGAACACTTAAGACCTGATATCTGCAGTTCACAAAGCCTCCTTATAAGCTTTCATTGACTAAACCACCTCCTGAGAGTGGAATAATTGCTGTTCCATGCTTTTCATCCCACCCCAGGCCCATGTGGCTTAACATTGGCAGTGGTCGATGTGTTTCATTAACATTGGCAGCGGTAAATGTGTCTCAAACACATTTGAGATGTGTTGGGTTTTGACTTCACTGTATATTGGGTGCTCCAAGCTGAAGAAGAGGCCAGAGTTTGCTTTTGTATCAGTACAACCTGACTAACAGCACCATGTGACATTGCATAGTGGGCATCTAACCTACCAGCCACTGCAATGGTCTTACAGATGATGTATTAATTTCAGATGTGTACCTCTAATATCTGTTCACATGGAACACAGACACAAGTAAAGTAGCTGCTCGTGGCATGCAAGAGAAATTGACACTTCATATAATATTACTATAAAATCTTCAAACATCGAATGAACTGCCAGTGGAAGTGGTGGAGACTGGTACAATTACAATGTTTAAAAGGCATCTGGATGGATACATGAATAGGAAGGGCTTAGAGGCATTTGGCCCAAATGCTGGCAAACTGGACTAGATTAATTTAGGATATCTGGTCAGCATGGACAAGTTGTACCGAAAGGTCTGTTTCCATGCTGTACATCTGTATGACTCTATGACAAGATCTCTGAAGAGCATCAAGATAGTTTTGAACAGAATCATTTCAAAAATGTTACATAACTGTTTTGTGGATTAGAGAGGTACTCCACCAAAGAGGTCAATCAGGAACTTTGCAAACTTTGATAAATATGTTTACCTTTGTGATGATTAGGAATAGTAAGGACTGACTTCTAGCAAGCAAACCCTCCCCCCCCACCCACTCCCCGCCACCCCCTCACCCCCCGATCATGAGGCATATCAGTATTGAATACTTGTCAACCAACTGGATTCCTGCATGAGGACTCATTCACTTTAGAGATAGCAAACATTTAATAGATGCTGTCAGCCTTTATTTCAAAATCCCATATGGCTTTACCAAGACCTAGTGCAGCGATGTTCCATCAATACTTGAGCTTCAGATCTTCTGAATGCATGTCCATTCTGCTGTCAGAAGAAACAAAAGCATCTTTCACAACAATTTACAATGACAGAGATTAAGCCTCTCTTCTATCATCTAAGAGGATTGCTTTTTGAATTTTCTTTACAGTTGACGATTTGAGAACTCTGGTGGAACACATATTGGACCAGACAAAATATATTGTGTGTGTGTCCATAATTGCTAAGATGACTAGAAATTTGACTATAGAGTGTGATTGCATAGCCCACTTGATGTTTCCAAGGTCAATAGGAACAGTAGGACATTGAATTTTCCTTTTACACTCATTACTATATTGCCATTTAAACTTAATCCTGCTCATTTTTACTTAGTATGGAACTTCAATTTTTTTTTCTTTATATATAATGCCGGTGGTCTTTTTCCAGCTCAATTAGACATATCAGAGGATAACAGAATTAGTGTTTCAAAGATGTGCTGAAAAGCCAATATAAAGAAATGCCACATTGACATTAACTCCTGACAGACCATAGCCCTAGATTGAATCAGATGGATGCAGAGTCTATGGGGATAGTCCTAGCAATTTGACAAAATGAAGAGGAAATATTAGAATAGTTAAGAAAAGGACACAAATGAATAATGCACAATCAACCATTCCTCACAATGATAAATGGCCTACGTGCATTCAGTCCTAAATCAGAATCTTTAGAAAGCTTTGGACTCAAAGAAGCCAATAATCCTTATCTGCCAGTCATAGGCAATGTTTTAGACACAGGAGGCCGGTTACCCCCTTGACGTGGTGTGTGCTGTATCACGCTCCTGCTTCTCAAGTTGCCTGTTTTCCCTAATTGGATCCTATACCACAAGAATAGCCGTAATTGGATTGCTTTCCATAAGACTGAACCAGAAAACAACCTGCTGCTGCCAACGGGATAATGACACAAAGATGGCCCTCATGGCTGAAAAACTTTTAAGTTTGGAAAATTCTGCCCTGCAGTTTGACTGAAGCTGTAAAATAAAGCAGCTTCTGAATTTTATCTTGATTGCATTTCATGAGAATACTCACAAGTTTAGTGTAGTAGTTTAAGAGAACCATCTGTATGGACACAATTGGAGGACTGAAGAATTCATACATAAGTGAACACCTTGTTATGTCTCTGCCAATTCACAGTATAATGTGTAAGATGGCATTGCGATAATATCAGAGGACTATTAAGCCAGGCTAATATTCTGAGAACATGTATTCAAATCACACTACAACAGCTGGTGGAATTTAAATTTAACTAATACAATCGAGAAGTGGAAGCTAGCTTCAGTAATGGTGACTGTGAAACTATCAGCCGATGTTGTGAAAACCCATTTTGTTTGCTTATGTCCTTTAGGGAAGAAAATTTGCCTTCCTTACTTGATCCAGTCTGTATGTGACTCCAGACGAACATGAATGTGGCTGTGTCTTCATTGGCCGAGAAATTCAGTCCATTCAAAGACACTTAGAAATGGGCAACAGATGCTGACTCCATTAAAATACAAAATAAATTAGGCAGTTAAAATAAACTTACGATTATGAGGAAGGTGGCTATGCATACATGACAAACCAATCACCTCACAAATCCAAGAGAATAATTGTAACAGTCCCAAAATTTGTAACAGTCCTTTTGCCTTCAATTATGTGCCGCTTGTTAGCTGGAAGGAACAGTTCACTGGCAAGGGCTAGCATTAGTTCAACAAATTCCTTGATTTAAGACATTTTCTCTACTTGACCCATTCCCCCATGCCCTCTTCCGGTTTAGAAATTAAGAACAGGTTCTTCTTTTGTAACTTGTCTGGGGAAAGAGTGCAAACATTACTTTTCAAGTCACAAATGAAAGAAGCTGTCAAATGGTAAAATGAGACAGGCTTTTTTTCATGCAACTTGTTTACCTTGTGTCAAAGAAATAAGATTGTGCTTGAGATTATAGCCACAGAACATCAAGTCAATGTGCTATTTGTTTGAACTATATTATATTGTTCTAATGCTTGAAAAATGTGAACTCACTCAGACGTTCTTGTCATTGTTCTTCCAGAGTGCAAAATTGAGAACTGCGAGGCCTGCTTCAGCAGAAACTTTTGTACTAAATGTAAAGAAGGACTGTACCTGCATCGAGGGAAATGTTATGACAGCTGTCCAGAGGGGTTTGCAGCCACAAATGGCACCATGGAGTGTAGCCATGCTGGTGAGTATGAACCAATTTAACACTATTTACTAAAACTTTTGTTGAAGTTTCCACAGAGACACTGGGACAAGATGTCCACAGTAGGATCACATTTTGAATGCACCCCAGAAAACAGATAGTTTCCTTGACTAGTTTCGCCGCACCATCTTTGAATGAAAGCGTAAATCACACAGTTACTCTGATATCAATAGTTTACACTTACAGTGCTTGCAGGAGGCAGTGGCCCAAGGCAGCAGGAAGCAACAAGGTGTTTCTGTCCATAAGCATCTGGTTTAAGGTTTTATTATACCTGGCAGACAAAGCAAGTTATAGCCAAAGAATGTGGTTGTGGAAAATGGCATGTCAAAATAGGGATTACGCTGTTCAAAATGGAATGTGACCAAGTGTTGGAGCAGTCTGGTGGAACAAAAGCAAAATACTGTGGATGCTGGAAATCTGAAGTAAATGCAGAAAACCTCAACGGTTCTGGCAGCATCTGTGGAGAAAGAAATAGAGATAATATTTTGAGTCTAGTATGACTCTGCTTTGGAATTTGGGGTTCAGGGTTCTAAAGGAGAGTCACACTGACTCAGGCCATTAGCTCCATCACTGAGGAATATCTGATCCTGAGATAGGGAGCTAAAAGTGTAAAATTGTTCTCATACTCTTCTCAGACATCACTCAACTTCATAGATGAAAGATACCTCTCCACTTTAAATAGGTTAAAAAATTCAAAGAGAATAGATACAAAAAACTTTAAATCTAAACAACCATTTCCTTCCAAATTAACCCAAAATGCCACACTTATCAAAACTAACTCATTTGATTTGGCAAATGCCGAATTGAAATAAATCCATTGCTACAATGCTAGTTATTTCAATTCTAATCAGGTTCTTTGGGCTGATGTTAATCTCTCCAATTTGCTAACATCTGCTCTATACACTTGGATTCCAACTCCATAATTTGGATGTGAATATAGGAGATACGGTTAGTAAGTCTGCAAAATTAGTTGTGTAGTAGACTGTGAAGAAGTTTACCTCAGAGCACGATGGGACCTTGATCAGATGGATAAATGGGCTGAGGCTTGGCATATGGAGTTTAATTTAGATAAATGTGAGGTGTTGCCTTTTGGTAAGGCAAATCAGGGCAGGACTTAGACACTTAATAGTAAGGTAGTAGGGAGTGTAGCCAATCAAAGAAACCTTGGAGTGCAGGTTCATTGTTCATTGAAAGTGAAGTCACAGGTAGGCAGGGTAGTTAAGAAGGCATTTGGTATGCTTGCCTTTGTTGGTCAGTGCATTGAGTATAGGAGTTGAGATGTCATGTTTGGCTATATAGGACATCAGTTAGACTACTTTTGGAATATGCATTCAATTCTGGTCTCCTTGCTATAGAAAAGATGTTGTTAAACTTGAAAGATTTCAGAAAAGATTTACAAGAATGTTGCCAGTTTTGGAGGGTTTGAGGTATAGAGAGACTGAGTAGGCTGGGGCTATTTTCCTTGGAGCGTCAGAGGTTCAGGGGTGACCTTTTAGAGGGTTATAAAATCATGAGGGACATGAACAGGGTGAATAACCAAGGTCTTTTTCCCAGGTTAGGGGAGTACAAAACCAGAAGGCATAGGTTTAAGTTGAGAGACCAAAGACTTAAAAGATGATCTAAGGGGTAATGTTTTTACACAGAGGGTGGTGCGTATATAGAATGAGCTGCCAGAGGAAGTCGTGGAGGTTGGTAAAATTACAACATTTAAAAGACACCAGGATGTGTATATGAATAGGAAGGGTTTAGAGGGATATGGGCCAAATGCTGACAAATTGAAGTAGATTTACCTAGTTATCTGGTCAGCATGGACAAGTTAGACCAAAGGGTCTGTTTCTGTGCTGTACATCTTTGGACTCTCTATGACTACTGCCTACTTGTCTGCCCTCATCCTGTCTGACAAGGGGGAGGCTGGCAGTTAGGATGTCAGGCAGAAAACCCACCTTGTGCCCATGAAGACCCTTAAGTGATCAATTAATAGCCACTTAAAGGCTTCGTTCACACCTCACCAGTGTTTTACCTGCAGCGGGGTGAGGCCTATGTTGAATGGCAAATGTGGAAGCTTTAGCTGGTTTTGGACAAGTGCCCGTCAAAGGCATCTCTTTCTCCAAAGTCCTGCTCCCACTTTTATACGCTCACTCCGTTCCCCTTTCGGGCCCATCAAACCTGGTCATGCCCAGCCCTCATTCCCCTCACCAGCGCCTGCCAACCAGTCAGACTCCCCTCTGAATCCTGGAGACTTATAAGAAGTCTACTCTCCCACTTGGCACTGGTCAGCTGTTGTAAGGTAGAATCTTCTTCTATGATAGGGGTTGAAACTCTGACTTTTAAACAATTAACACACTTCCTAAGATTAAATTGTTTTAAGGCAGCTTTCCTTATGCTGGGTCTGCTCGCCACTGTCATTTTAGCCAGGGAAAGGTGGTTAAGCAGAGAGGGACAGGAATCACAGTGACCAGTAAAATACCGTCCCATGCATCCTTATTAGTTTTGGCTTTACACTTAAATCTTTTTCAAAATAATTTTCTGCATTTGGACAATAACATTTATTACATGAATAGGAAAGGTTTAGATGGATATAGGCCAAAATACAGGCAAACAGGATTAGTTCAGTTTGGGAAATTTGGTCATCATGGACGAGCTGTATCAAAGGGTCTGTTTCTGTGCTGTATGACTCTATTTACTTTTTAATTTCTCACAGCTCAATGTGAATTGAGTGAGTGGAGCCCCTGGGGCCCATGCACCAAAGGACGGAGGACATGTGGTTTCAAAAGAGGGACAGAAGTAAGGACCAGGCAGTTGCTCCAAGGACCTTCATCAGAAGACGTGACTTGTCCCCCAACCCGAGAGAGCAGACGTTGCACTGTGCAAAGGAAGCCTTGCTCAAATGGTAAGTGGCACCAAGTAACCAAATTATCCCAAATTGGTTTAATATTGTGGCTCACAGCATCATTGCACAACAGCCAAAAGTAATCCCTTTAGTTGGACTGCATGATCAATTTTACAGAAAGAGAAGTTCTATTTCTTACAAAAGCTTACAAACAAGTTTAGTCCTTCTTTGGATAAAATGAGACTTTGTTACGTCATCTCTTGCAATATACCATGTTATAATTCGTGAAACAATACCAGTCACCAGGGAAGTCATATTTAGATATGACGAAAAATACACGAGTATTTAAGGATAAATGTGCATTAAATCATCCGATGCATAGAATACTGTTAATTGTATGGGTAAAGAGTTGACACACAACTCACCCAGTATATAATTGAGTGGTGGGAAAGCTCAAGGACTGAATGCCATTCTCCTGTTGCTACATTTCAAACTAATGTGTTTGGGAATAACTTCAGAAACATGAGAGTGTCGAGAAAGCTTTGTTCTGTGTCTAATCTGTTTTGTATCTGATATAATGTCATAAGGAAAGATGGAGCTTTTTGCATTAAACATGTATTAAATAAAAAATATACTTCACTCACCAATTCAACCTGCTCAGGTAAGGTTTTGCAAAGTTCCTCTCTCCTGTTTCTCCTCCACAAAGCTACGTTGAATAAGGTTTTAGATTATTAGCTTTGCCATTTTTAGGTGAAACATGTAAGGTGACACCTTGAGTAGCAAAATGAATCATGCAAGGAATCATCAAGGAAAAGAGCTGGCATTTACATAGCAGCAAAAAGTTAAGTCGCCATCGTCCCAGAGGATCATAAGGCTGCTCTGTTAGAGAGACAAGACTGGTGGTGGTTTAGTCTGAGGGTCGCAATGCCTCAAGTGAGGTTGAAAAGGTAGGACCTTCATGATAACGTCCGCCTGTGTGGGAAGTGACTTTGAATATCACTTACAATATATAGCACCTCAGAAATAAGAAACACCTTTGACAATTCGCAAATTGTTCCTCTGGAATTCCTTCCCTAAATCCTTTCACCTCTCGACCTCCCTTTCCTCCTCAAAGCTTTGGATAAACTTTTGGTTACCCCTTGTAATATTTCCTTATCTGTCTCAGCTTCAACTTTTTGACTACCCCTCTGTGAAGCAGTGCTGGTTTATTTCTTTATGCTAAATCTGCTACATCTGCCAGCTTTTACAATGCTTAAAACTGTATATAACTCTTCATTTTTAATTATAACTTGCATTTGAAACAAAAATGGATCAAAATTTTACAGTGGAAAAAAATGTACATGAAATGGTTTCAAAAATCTCACAGCCCTTTAGGATGAGTGTGTGTAAAGGGTGTAGTGATGGTGCAAATGATGCTGTTTCTATCTTACAACTCATGCCATTATAACAGTATGTTTTAGCCCCATGTTAATCACAGTCCAGCATCTTATTATGATTAATGTGATTGTTTCATAGCTGGAGATTTACAGGAGGAAGGGTAGTTGGTATATCTTAGTTCTTTCTATCCAAAACAAACTTACAATTTCCAATCATAGCGGCCAACTGTTTCTTCAGTGATTCCAATTTTTTTGTTTACCTCTATGCTTTGTTGGCAAGTTCATCCCATGTGTTGGTCACTGTTAATTTGAAGAAGATATTCCTGGTCTCAGTGCCACATTTGCTTTTCACTGGTGGTGGGGGAATCCATAACAATGATGGAAAACCCCCAAATTATAGCTGGGCCACTCAGGGTTGTGTCAGAAAGCTGTTTTTCACAGCATTGTTGCAGTGTAGAAAGAGACCATTTGGCCATTGTGCTTGCACCAGCTTACAATTCTTCCAAGTTTTGTGCCATCTTTGAAACTTTGAAACATCAAGACCCAGCTTATTAATATTTATCATGAAAAGCAAGGGTTCTTCCTCCAGCCTGAAAAGTATCCATTAACCATTATTCTATGTTTCTCATCATCCAACCAATTTTGAATCTCTTTTGCCTCTGTCCCTTTCATACCATGACCTAGAACTTTTCTCACAGGTCTGTTGTGTGCCACTGTATCAAACGTCTTCTGGAAATCCATGTATACCATATCAATAGTATTACACTTATTGGACTTTTCCGTTGTCTCTTCAAAAAACTCCAGCAAGTTACTTAAATACAACTTTCCCTTCAGGAATTCGTGCTAACTCTTCCTAATTGATCTATCTTTTTCCATGTGACTACTAATTCTATCCAAAATAATTGTTTCTCAAAGATTAAGCTGACTGATCTATAATTATTGGGATTACCTTTTGCAGCCTTTCTTGATTAAGACCATAATTCTCCAGTTTGATGGCACCTTTCCTGACTCCAGGAAAGACTGAAAGTTTTTGGCTGATTCATTGAAACAGTAATGGAAATCACTTTGAGGTTGAATCAGTTGAATATTTCAACACAATGTTGATAGATTTATATCATTGCACAGAAAAGGGACATGTAATATCAAAAGAAAACAATGGTGCAATAGAAATGTTATGGGACTAGTAATCCTGAGGCCTAGGCTAAGGCTTTGGGGAACGTGGGTTCAAATCCTACTATGGCAGGTGGTGGAATTTACACTCTTATTAAAAACAATCTCACAATCATCAATTATAGTAAACGTCCATCTGGTTGATCAATTCCCTGCGGTGATGGCAATCTGTAGTCCTTACCTGGTTTGCCTTATTGGTGTGCCCTCCATTCCCATAGCAATGTGGTTGACTCGGAAAAGGGATCAGAAAGATATTCAATGTAAGGACAATTAGGGATGGTCAACAAATGCTGGCATCTCCAGCAATGCTCACGTCCCATGAATAATGAAGGAAAAGAGAATTGTGCATGATCAAATTAAATCGTGGCACAGGCTTGATAGACAGCTGTTCCAATTTTCCTGACAAGACTTTATCTGTATCCAATTTCATCATCCATTTATTGAAATCAGTTTGCAGGTTCTTGTCTGCCTCTCATATCCTATGTCCCTTTGAAATAAAGGTTATGATTAAGGTTAGGGTGTCTCCCCTACTCTGATTGGCCTGGAAGTAGGTTTTTCATCCAATTAAGGATGGCAAGAATGCTCTCAAAGCCAATCAGAGCCTATGACGCCTCAACTATGTGATGTCCCTTGAAGTCATCTTCCACAGGCCTCTGGAATAGAAGATCCAAAAGGTTCACCACCTTCTAAGTGAAGAAATTCCTCATTTCAGTCTTAAGTGGCTTACTACGTTTTCTGAGATTATGTCCCCTGGTTCTAGACTTACCAGTCATCGGAAACAGCATATCGAGCCTGTTACATCCTGAAAGTATTTTATAAATTTCCATGTAATAACCTCTCATTCCATGAAACTCTCAAGAGTACAGGCCAACATTTCTCAATCTTTCCTTATAAAACAATTTTGCATTCACAGGAATTAGCTGGAAAACATCCATTCCACTCCCTTTCTAGCAAATACATCCGTTCTCTTATAAGGATGTCAAAATTTCACACAATCTTCCATGTACAGAGCTTTGGTAAGAATGAACATATGCAGCAAGACACCTTTACATCTACATACAAATCCTATTATGATAAAGGCCAGCATATCATTTGCCTTCATTATTGTCTGTTGCAGCCATATGCTTGCTTTTCATGATTCATTAACAAAGATACCCAGAAGCCTTTGGACACTGACACTTCCAAACCTCTCGCTATTTAAGAAATATTCTGCTTTCTGCTTTTTCTATCAAGGGGAATAACTTCACACTCATTTATGTTCGATTGTATCTCCCATGCAATTGCCACTTCATTTAACCATTCCAGGTCCTCTTGAAGTCTCCTTGGATCTTCCTGACAACTTACATGCTCTGGAACGTGGAACAATCTCTCTTCCAAAGCTACACTGGCCCTATCCCCCATCTCTTCCTCCGTTACATCGATGATTGTATCTGTGCCGCCTCGTGCTCCCATGAGGAGCTCGAACAGTTCATCCACTTCACCAACACTTTCCACCCCAACCTTAAGTTCACCTGGACCATCTCCGATAAATCTCTCTGTTTCCAACCACCTGGAAACCAATATCCATTTCACCTACCAACTCCCACAGCTACCTAGAATACACCTCCTCTCACCCACTTCCTGCAAAAATGCCATCCCCTATTTCCAATTCCTTCACCTCTGCTGCATCTGCTCCCAAGATGAGGAATTCCACTCCCGGACTTCCCAGATGTCCTTATTTTTCAAGGACCGCAACTTCCCCTCCACAGTGGTCGAAAACACCCTTGACCGCATCTCTCGCGTTTCCCGCATTCATACCTCACACCACCTCCCCACACTAACAACAAAAACAGAATCCCCCTCGTCCTCACGTACCACCCCACCAACCTCTGGATCCAATGCATCATCCTCCGACACTTCCACCACTTGCAATCTGACCCCACTACCAAAGACATTTTTCCCTCCCCACCCTTATCTGCCTTCGGAGGGACCATTCTCTCCATGACTTCCTTGTCCGCTCCACACTCCCCTCCAGCCTCACCACCCCTGGCACTTTTCCCTGCAACCGCAGGAAGTGCTACACCTGCCCCTACACTTCCCCCTCACCCCCATCCCAGGCCCCAAGAAAACCTTCCACATCAAACAGATGTTCACTTGCATATCTGCCAATGTGGTATACTGTATCCACTGTTCCCGATGTGGCCTCCTCTACATCGGGGAAACCAAACAGAGGCTTGGAGACTGCTTTGTGGAACACCTACGCTCGGTTCGCGACAAACGACTGCATCTCCCAGTCGCGAACCACTTCAACTCCCACTCCCACTCCTTGGACGACATGTCCATCCTGGGCCTCCTCCAGTGCCACAACGATGCCACCCGAAGATTGTAGGAACAGCACTTCATATTTCGCTTGGGAACCCTGCAGCCCAATGGTATCAATGTGGTCTTCACAAGCTTCAAAATCTCCTCACCCCCAACCGCATCCCAAAACCAGCCCAGCGCATCCCAGCCTCCCTAACCTGTCCGTCCTTCCTC